CCCTGGCCTTTCTTTGTGAGCGTGGGGAGCGGCAGTTTGTAGAAATGTTAAATGCTTGTGGGCCTGATAGGAAATATCAGCTAATAAGGAAGAGACACACACCTTGCAAATCCAGTCAGATGTCTTACTGGAAGGTATCAACAGCTATTAGGAAACAGTCATCCACTTAAGGTTCAAACAGAAAATAATAGTCAGTAAAAGAAAAAGAAGTACAGTTGGCCTTTGATCAACATGAATTGAACAGGTGGGGCCCCTGGGGGTAATCAGGTCAGATGCCAGGAACATGGATTTTTTTGAATAAATACGCTGAAAATTTTTTTGGAGATATGTGACACTTTGAAAAAAAAACATTTTCTTTTCTCTTGCTTACTTTATTGTAAGAATACAGTATATAGTACATAAAACATACAAAATACATGTTAATCAACTGTTTATGTCATCAATAAAGCTTCTTGTCAATGGTAGGTTAAGTTTTCGGGGGAATCAAAAGCTATACTTAGATTTTTGTCTGCATAGGGGAGCTGGTGCCCCTCACTCCTGTGCTGTCCAAGGGTCAACTGTAGTATTATTTTAGAGGTATTTCTGAATTGTTCTCTAATCTTTTAACATTACCCTGAACTGCACATTTGGGGGTAGCAGTTTAAATTAGGCAAAACCACACATACATATGTGGTACAGTGAGATTGAGAGACCCAAATAAGTAGGGAACTTCTATTCCAAAGGCAAACACTGAAAGGATTTTCTACATTTAATCTGATCTAGTTCGTCAGTGTTGGGAACTTGGAGGAGGTGAAGCTGCCCTACTTGCAAGCTAACAGATTCATGGGTGCTGGGAGAAGACAGGAGACTCCTGATTCGGAGCTAAAGGGCCTTATCCTTCTCTGTCTAGTGAGCAGCATGAACAGAGCATCTTTGTGTCAGCTCCCATCACCCCACATCCTCCTGGGTGACACGGATGGGCTCAGATGGATTCCGGCATATGTCATGGGTTGCATTACCAGAGAAGAACCCTGGTCTCTTAAGATCTTTTAAGGGGCAGTGTAGGCTTGACTGACCTTTACTAAGGAAGGAGATACCATATCTACCTTTCAAGGTTGTTTGCTACACAAACATCCTTGAAAAGATAGTCAGGAGGAAAGGACTGTTTTGATAGCCTCCTATTCACCTCATTGGTGAGGAGGGATTTCCACCCTGGGTTATGGGGATTGCCAAACACGTGACCCCCAGCACTGGGCAGCTGAGAGCAACTGCAGTTTAGGAGCCACAGACACTCGCAGCCCAGGGGAGGAAGACATCATACCACATGGGGCCACATGGGCGTGGCACTCAGGAGCCGAGTGAGCAACCGGGGGTGTGAAAGGCAGGTTCTGTAGTAACAAGAGGGTGGGGTACACCCCGGTTCCCACAGGAGGATGTGACTGGCTTGTTTGAGTAATTCTGTGGGCTGGCAGGGAAGTGCAGTCCGCTACTCAGGGTGAAGCAGAAAGTGCCTGGCTCCCTGATAAGGAAGGTGGTTTGGCCAGGAGGCCTTACCTGCGGAGGCAGAGTCGGGGGGAAAGCTGGCAGTCAGGCCATCTGATTCAGCGTTGCCGGATGCCAAGGCAGCACCTGACCCTGATCCTTAATTTTAGGTCCTGTGCCATAAGGACAGTTAAAGAGAATTTTCTTTAAAATTCCTGGAACAACAGGTTTGCAAGTGGAAGATTCTCTCAGCTTTCATTTGTCTTAAAAAAGTATTTTGAAATCTCTGAGTGGTCTGCTCAATTTTGCTATGAATCTAGAACTGCTCTAAAAGGTCAAATGTATTTTTTTAAAGGAATTTTGCCTTTATATTTGAGGGGCATTTTCACTGAGTATCAAATTCTGACTTGACAATGTTTTCTTTTTCTTCAGCCCTTTAAAATTGTCATTCTGTTGCTTTCTGTTTGCATTATTTGTATCAGGTGAGAAGTCACTTAATGTCCCCTTAATGCTCTCTTCCTTAACAGAATGCTGACAGGCAGTTAATTTACTTTCAGGTTAACTCGATTTTTTTAAGACTTGTTTTAAAGTTTTTCTAGAATGAGTATAGAGTGCCTTTACTATAGAACTAGATCAAGTCTACTCTTATGGCATGTTATGGATGGAATGTCTGTGTCCTCTTAAAATTCATATGTTGAAGCCCTAACCCCCAGTGTGATGATTTGGAGGTAGGGCCCCTGGGGGTAATCAGGTCAGATGATGCCAGGAGGGTGGGGCTGCCATGGTGGAACACCAGAGACCATGTCCTCTCTCCTCCAGGTGAGGACACAACGAGACGGTGGCCCCCTGCACACTAGGAAGGGGTTCTCACCAGGAGCTGGCCCTGCTGGCACCCGGATCTTGGATTTCCAGCCTCTAGATCCATGAGACTTTAATGTCTGCTGGTCAAGACACCCCATGTGCTGCATACTGTTGTGGTAGCCCGAGCTGATCAGACATGGCATGGCCTTCCCGTGACCCTGCTGGATGCCTGAGATGGCCAACACATTTCCTACCACCTGACTGGCCAGAACCCAACGAGTTCAGCCCTGCGTGGCCTGCTAGCTGGTCCTTGCAGCATCCTCACGCTCATTCCCGAGGAGCTGCTTCTGCCTGGCCCTGTGTGCACATGCAGCTCAGTGTTTGACAAAAACCCCAGCAGACCCCCATTCCTATTTCTGGGCTCCCTCTTTGGCGCCCTACCCTGAAAACCCTTGGTACCTCCAATTCCAGCCTCCTCCACCCAGCAGGGTGGCCCCATGTGCTCTGTGGGGTACCCTCTTACCGCACTATTGTCCAGACAATAAGCGAGAGCAGTGGTGTGAACCTCCTTGCTTCGCTCTGTCTGGCATGCCTGTTGCGTGATCTGTGGGCAGTTAGTTCATACAGTTTAGAGTTACCAGTGGTGGAAGGGACAGTCAGTTACTCCAGGGCAGCCAGAAGCAGAAGCCCACATGGGTGATGGCTGAGGATGTTCCCACCGGTCCACTTCTATTTTCTGTGTGAATGGCTGGATGATATCACCCCCCAAAGAGTGCGGCATGGAGGTGAGAAGGGTGGACAAGGAACCACAGAATTGCAATGGTGCTGAGGGCCGCCAGACGATGCTTCAACATGGCAGCGGTGGACAGCGCACACAGCCGAGTTCAGCAGGTGGGGTGGCCTCGAGACCGTGAACTAAGGAGCACACGGGTGGGCACCCGGATGGTGGGAGGAGCGTCTGGGAGGAAGGATGGACGTGGGGGAGCTTGAAGAGGCAGTGAGGGATTAGAGGGATGTAAGCTTTGGGAATGGGTTGGGGGGCGAGCAGAGGACCTCAGAAGCTCGGGACACCCTGCAGTGTGGTCATGGAGGGGATGGCAGAAGCAGAGTAGGGGAGGAATTAGAGATGAGGAGGAAATAAAGACCTGAGCGGCTACAAGTTTGGTGGGATGTCCCCCGAATGCTAGATGTTGCCAAGTCTCAGTGTGACAAGGAACACAGTGAACTCAGGGCTAAAATCCTTAACTAAGGAGGCAGGTCGAAGGTCAGCTGGTCACTGTGGGGCAGCTGGTCACTGAGAGTGCTGAAGCTCCCAGCCTGCTCCCCCAAGGGGCACAGTATCTGCAGAGAGCTGAGGCCCTGGCGAGTTCACGGCCCAGCCCCTCGAGCCCACGCCATGGGAACCCGGACCCCAACGCAGGGGCCGAGCCTGTGCTGGAGACCACGGTCTCCCCACAGGTGGGAGTGACTGTCTAACCATTTCAGATCTGCACAAGAGCACTGTGTGGGTAGTCGGAGCTCTGGGCAGGGGCCTGAGCACCTTGGTGTGAGATGGACACAAGGGAAGCATCTCAGGGCTGGTGCAAGCCTCTCTCTGGGCCAGGGGACAGCAGGAGACCAAGGGGTATGGGTGGCATGGGTCAGGTGGCTTCAGCGGGAAGCTGCAAGCCCAGAATGGGGCTAGGGGGGCAGCTGGGCTGTGGGAGGGAAGAAGAGGGGGCAGAGGAGATGAGGATCTGGGAGTGAACAGGTGACTTGGGACCCTACGCCTTAGGTGGTGACTAAGGGTGACAGGGACTTGAGATGGGGAAAATTGACTTTATCAAGGTCTTCAAAGCTGGAGTCCCAGTGGCTTCTCAACGGGTGAGCAGTCAGGGCCTTGTCCAGCAGTGCTGCAGAGGGTCTGCCCACAGCCTGGAGGTCTGCTTGCGGGCCCCTGGGGACTTGTGCTTGGACCCAGGGCTTTAGATGGCTGCTCAACCCATGATTTACAGACTGGAGACCTTGGGTAAGTCCTTCCGCTGTGGGAAGTTTAGGACATGCTTTCTGCCTCCCCACTCACCTCTCCTGCTTCTTTTGGGACGTCCCGTCCCAGCTTCTCTCTCTCTCCACCCCATGCAGACTCCCGCCCTGGGCATCTCATCCTGGACACACAGACATGGCCCATCTACAGGCATCATCTGTTAGGAAATGCAGAGGTCCATGGAAAAAAATCTGAGGCACTGCAGGGTCTGCTGGAATGAAGGTTATTTTTACACCAGTCCCAGCCTGCCCCTCTGCGTGCACCTTATCTCCATGGAGGGCAGCCCCCTTCCCAGGATGGAGACAGGCAGCCACAGCCGAGGACAAGGAGGGGCAGTAGTGCAGCCCTGGAGGAGGGGATCTCCTCCATGCCCCCAGAAGCCCGTTATTTTTCCCAGCAACCTTGGAGCCAATATTAAAAAAAATTCCTGTGGTAGCCACATACTTTATCGGGAAAAATACATGGCTTATCCCTTCCTGGGTGTGACCGTGTGGGTGCCCAGCACCAGACGTGCATGTGGCCGGTCTTCCACGTCGGCATCCTGGCACAGCCAGGCAGGGGAAGGCCTGGCTGGGCAGGGAGCACGGCCCCTGGCCCGGAAGCCTCGCCCGCAGGCAGCCGCACTGCCCCCCTCCCGCTATCTCAGCTCCTTTTCCTGACAAAGGACTGGTGCCGTGGGCGAGAGAAAGGTTATCTGTGCATGCTGAGCAAACAGAGGAAAGATTATAAAACAGGCCCTGGCGGTGGGCACCACACATTCTGGTGGAAGCCCGGAGGAGCAGCCGAGCGAGGACATGGGACCCCAAAGCGGCCGGCTCGTGGCTCTGCTCCTCATCCTGGGGCTGTGTGCGCTGGCTGGGGCCCAGAAACCATGTAAGTGACTGCCTGAAAGTATAAGTGGCCCTCGCGGCTCAGCGACCCTGAAGGGGCGCGGAGCATTCCCAGGGAAACTTCTAGTTCCCCAAACTCCAAGGGGATGTGCAGACTCCTTGCTTTTTGGGGTGCCTCCTCACCCGTCTCTGGGTCTCTGTTCCTGTTTGAGTTCCTCAGAGTGAAGAGGCAGGTGATGAGTTTAGATGCAGGGTAAGTAGCTAGAAGGCACCCCGAAATGTGGCCACACAGCCAGCGCCTATTGCTGGCATTCAGGAGTGTTACCCAGAGGTAGGGCAGACCTCCAGGAAAAGCCCCCTTCCAGGGACAGGTCAGGAGGGCTCCAGGTGTGGGGGGCCAGCTTGAGGAGCCGGCTAGGACCAGAGACCCCCTGGGGCTCCCTGGAGCCCACCCTGCTCACCCTCCATCTTACCCTTGGTCTGGGCCTGTCTGTCCACCCTCTCTGCAGAAGGTTTCTCTTTGCTTTTTTCTCACGGATAAAACCATTTCCGCAGAAGGACACAGCATAGTTCAAACGTGGGCAAGGCAGGATTTTGCTGCTCCCGTGTGGCAACAGGACCCCAGGAGCGTCCCGAGGGCACCCTGGGGCAGGCGGGCATGGCGGGGGCTGGCTGACGGGCCTTCTCCACAGCTCCCTGCCAGTGCTCCCGCAGGAGTCCCAAGGACAGGAAGAACTGTGGCTACCCGGGCATCACCGGCGACGAGTGCTTCTCCTCCGGGTGCTGCTTTGACACCACGGTGGCTGGCGTCCCCTGGTGCTTCAAGCCCCTCCCCAAGGAAGGTAACCTGCAGGGCCGCCGGCTCCCCCTTCCCGGGTCCACAGGCCCCTGGGAGCTCGTGGACAGCCACCCGGGTCACCCAGGGGAAGAGAAACGCCCCGCCCCCGTGTCCACAGCGGGAGCCACACCTGTCAGCCGCCTGCCTTATGGGCACACATTTGTGAGAACCCATCAGTTGTTACTGTATTTGAAGGAAAAGCCACACTCGGGCCTGTCCTGGCTGTTAAAGTGTGACTTCTGCAGAAGCTTCTAAGGGGAGGGAGGGCTTTGCCTAGGGAGTTCACATAACTGCCCCCAGGCCCCAAATGTCAAGAAGCTAAAACTCCTTTCAAGAACGAAGTTTATTTAAGTATGTGTTGTTAAGATAGAAAGTCTCTGATGCCAAGGCGGGCACAAAAGAAAGCTGCACTCACGTGTGGACCTTCCCACGGCCGATGGGCCACCCTCCGGGCCAGGCAGAGGCCCCTGCCCCCACACTGATGGGAAACACCACAGCCAGGGCAGCCAGGGCCCGCCCTCTGGTGGAAGGGTTGCTGGGTCTCTGCACTCTGGCCAAAGGCTTTCCCTCCTAAAGGGCACTCACCAGCCTTGCCTCCTCCCCCACTCACAGGGGGGTGGAGCGAGTTTCCCGAGTTCCCATGACTCCAGATCTGACTTGTGACATCTTTGGGGAGGAGGAGGCGGCCAGCCAGGGGTGGCAACACTGAACAGCCCCTGGTGTCACGGTCCCAGAAGGCCCTCCAGACACACCAAGCCTGTAAAGCCAGGGGTATTCCAGTGGGAGGTTGAAATCAAAGCTTCTGGCTAACTGGGTCTCTGTGTTTTCCTTTCCCAAATCCGGTGACATGTGACAGAAAATGAGGCGTGTGTCATGGAAGTCTCAGCCCGCAGGAACTGTGGCTACCCAGGCATCAGCCCTGAGGAGTGTGCATCTCGAAAGTGTTGCTTTTCCGACACCATCCCCCAGGTGCCCTGGTGTTTCTACCCACTGCCTGTGCAAGGTAATGTCACTGCAGGACGCATGCGGGTGGTTTCCTGGGGAAGGTGGAGCAGGGGGGAGGGCAGCTGCCTTGGTCCTGGACTGGACTTGCTCCCTAAATGCCCCCTGAGGCAGCTCTAGATGCTCTCAACAATGCTGGCATCTTTGCCTGAGATCTAAAGCCTCAGCTTTCCCAGGGTGCCTTTGTGGTGGTTGCAAAAAGCAGGTCGCTCTCAGCCACAATCCTAAATCCTGGCACAGTATGGTGGCAATTCAATCACCAGTTTTGGGCACTATGAAATGCCATGTGCTGGCTGGGCACCAGGGCCAAGCCCCAAGCCAAGCAGGTGTGGTCCTTCCGTGGTGTCGTGGCCTCACCGTTCTCTCACACTGACCACACGCGGCAAGTTCTGTCCACAGCCTCCTGCTCCAATGCCCGTCCCCAGAGGGTCTTGTCACCTCCCCCAACCCCCTCTGCTACCATGTGTCCCCTGACACTGAGTTTGGCAAGATAAATGCTGGAAGCACGTGCTCACCCTTGAGGATGCTTCTCTGTCCCTCTGCGGTGTATCAGAGCACTCCAAGGAGCAGAGCCTTCACTTTCAGGAATTTCCAAGTGATTTTTGGAGTGACCTAAGGGTCTACCTGGAAAATTACCAATTATTTGGGGAGATGGAGCCCCAGAGGATCCTCTCTCCTGGGGGACCCAGTCCTGTCCACCCAGCAGGCGCTGGGCAGATGCCCTGCTCCCAGGGAGCCCCCGGTGCCCACAGTGGGTGCCCTCAGCTCCCTGCCTCTCTCACCAACCATCTTGAATTTTGAATTTCTAGACTGTCATTACTGAGACACAGTGGCCTCAGAGAACCCGTCAGGCTCCCTGGATGTTCCAAAACCAAAGAAGAATACACACCATCTTGTCAGTTTCCAATTTCATGTTTCCTGAATTTCTGGGTTCTCCTCATCTGGCTTTTATCTTTTTCAATGGTTTACTATCCCATTTCTTCAAATAAAACCCTTAAAATCTGCTAAATTCATTTTTACTTCATTGACACAGAGGTGGCAATTGTGTGTGGAAGTGTGTATAGTTTGAACAATCTTCTGTTTACTATAAGAGCAACAATCCACCTAAAACATTCGGGCTATTCTAGCAACAATAGAGGATCCCATGAAAGTGACCTTCAGAATTACAGTCACACTCCCCAAACCCAGGCCTTTGCATAAAAGCTCAAAATACATAAAAGCTCGGCCCTAGGTAAGGTCACGCCTGCTCTGCGAGCAGCATTATAATTTCAGATTGCAATTACAAAATGTTTCACTTTCATCAAATGCATCGCAAACTGCTTGCTTTTGAAGTGCGAGGCAACAGATCAAGTTCAAAGCAGGGCCTTGAGCTGAGTTGGCTGCAAATACTCCGAGAGCAATTAGCTTCCATGTTTTCTCCCCTGCGGTTTGAAGCTGTTCCAAAGAGGATGCTGATGGCTTTCTCAAGGCCATTCCAGCCTGTAGGAAGGATGTTGCATGGAGGATACTTCATGCCTCTGCGTAGAGGGGTCCTAGCATTCTTCAGTTTCGGGGTGGGAGTGTAGGGCAGATGACCCCAGGCTGGTCTTCCAGTAGCCTCTCCTGCCTCCCTAATTTGCCTCCAGTCCCAGCCCACTGGCTTAGCAAATGCATCACCCAATGGTGCACCTGTCACCCTGGAAATCCACTGCCTCTCCTTCTAGGGTCAGAAGGACCGATAGCACTGGCTTTGCATCAAAAGGTGGGGGTTTTAAACACTTTTTCCTTGGCCCCACATCCTCCCTTGGGACTCCCAGTTTAAGGGGGCCACAGACGACCTCAAGTCACCATTGCATCTTTGTTTTGCTTACAACACACTCACAAGCTCAAGAAAGCAAAGGCTCTTGTTGGAACACAGGGTCTCTGAAACCCTCAGGACAAATGGCGAATGAAGGCGGACTGGCGTTTGTGAGCTCTTCCATCACAGGGCCGCCCTCTCACTCTGTCCACACTGTGGGGTTTACACACCCTGTGCAGGCCCGGCACACCGAGGCAGAGCTGAGTCAGGCTGTGTATTTCGGAAAGGGCCTTTGACACACTCTTCAGGGCCACATGAATCATTTGTGCCAGCACTGCTGGGTGAGAGCTGGGGGTGCTGCTCGCCCCTGGCATGGGGCCATCTCTCATGCTGGGCCTGGTGGCCGCTCCTGGCTCGGGGCGCCCCTGGCACCTGGGTCCCAGTCCTCTTGTTCTGGGTGGTGGCAGGAAGCCTGGTGTTTCTGCTCAGCAGTTCTCTCCCTGTGCACCCTGCCATCCCACACCCTCCTTTACCGCTCTCTCTGTGCATTAACACCCTAATTTCCCAGCTGGTTCTTATATCAGCCTTCTGACAGCAGAGTGTGGACTCCTAAGCAATTGCAGTGGTGCCCTCCATGGGCCTGGGGCCCTTACGGTTCTCATCTGTTTGGAATACTGTAGCTCCCGCATGCTCCAACACCACTGGTGACAGCTGCCTGCATGGGGTCCATGTGGTTCAGACTGTGCTGCAGGTGGGCCCCCGGGAGGCCCTCCTTGTCCCTGCAGCCACAACTGGTGACATTTCAACTCACTCCCCTCAGAAAAACCAATCTTCTTTTTCCTTCATCTCTGCCCTTCTCAGCTTCCCTTTCACCTATCCTGTCTCCCAGAAGTCCCCACAGTCACCCCGGCGCTCCAGCAGGGACGTCGCTGACGGTGGGCTGCGGGGGCAAGGCTTGGTGCAAGGGGTTCCGCGGCACCATTCCCAATGGGAGTAGGGGAAAGGGGAAGCCGGCTTGGCCCCTTGGCCCCACTGTCCTGGCCTCCTGGCTGCTCAAGTTCATCCAGGCCCTCACCCAGTTGGTCCAGAGAAGGAAGGAGCTTGGAAAGGCAGTCACAGGAGATGGGCCCAGCCAGCTCCTAGGCTGAGGCAGCAACAGGAGGTGGCATAGTGCACACCTGGGCCGCTGCCCCTGGTGTGTGACCTTGGGAGTTCCTCTCATCTCTGAGATTTTTCAGGTTTTCTGTTTATAAGATATGGGCAATAATGAAGTGCCCGGCAAGGCTGTGGCAGGATTAGTAATGTTTGGGAAGTGCCTGGTGCACAGAGGCCTGTGAGCTGAGCTCCTCCCATGAGAGCCGGCACAGAGACCTGGCGCCCTGAGGCTCCAGTCCCCAGCAGGGCCGCTCAGGGGTCTCGTGTATAAAAACCCTTCCCACTGCCGCACTGAGACACGTGACTGCATCCAGGTGGGGGTGGGTCCTGAAGGAGACCCACTGACGTCCACTGCATTCAGGACACAGTCACCATCCGTTGAATACATGGTTGATCTGCATGATTCTCAGCAGTTTTGATCTGCAGTGTCATTGACCCTGAGTCAGCAAGCACTGAACCACGGCTTCCGGGGGACACACAAGGTCAATTTCACCAACTGATCAATATGTGACCTTGCTCCGTGTGTGACTGTTTAAAGACCATCTATTTAATACACACTGCTGACTCATTAACACTGACCTCATGGCCAATGGCGCCGTAAGTCACACCTGAAGGACGCTCACCCGGCACGCCTTGCAGCTTTCTTGTGCTTCAGACGCTGGACAGCACTTCCCTGTGGCGCCTGGGACCATTTAACAGTGAGATCACCTACAAAGCGCACACATATTTGAAAAATGAGGTATGAAATAGGCCGTGAAAAGACACTTGTTCATAGTCTGAAGCTGAAACCAGACGGCAGTGTCTCCTTGTTCAGCCTCAGCTGGGAATGTGTGCATTGGATGATTCACATTTTCACGGCTCTGCACATGTGCGTGTCAGCTAATGGCCAGAAATACACGGGGAGTATCGGCTTTGGAGTTACAAACAGATTTTACAAGTAGGTGAATTTGCAAGTGGGGAATCCATGAATAACGAGGCTTGACCGTATATTAGTTACGTGTGTCTTGGCGATATGGAAGATACATATAAATACCCCTAGCTGTTGTTTTGGGGTTCAGGGAGCCAGCATCTCCATTGATGCCAGCCTGACCCCTTAGCCTAAAGAAAGAAGAGGAAAAGTCACAGCCAATCTGACCTCCCCTGGGGACCATGGAATCAGGGTGCATCAGATCTCCAAAATAAATATGTTTTGCTCTTATGTTCCATTGTGGTTCCTAGATCAAGGTCACTTCCTAGCTGTGTGATCTTAGGCAAGTTACTTAGCCATTTTGTGCCTAGTTTTCCTCATATACAAAGTAGGGGTGTTCACAGCACCTTTATTCGTGGGTTTGTTGTGAGGATGCAGTGAGTTAATTCATGAGATGTGCTTAGATGTGTCAGGCACACAGCAGGTACTAAATGAGAACATAACGCCACTTACTGTTATCAGTACATATACACCCCACAGTTCAGGCCCCATAAATTGGGGAGACATTCGTCTCTGTGCTGGATTGTCAGACCCTCTGGGACCCCACCTGCTGATGCAGGGAAACCAGCCCTACCAAGTCCCTCCCAGGACATCTTCTGTGGCCATGGCAGCTGCTGGGGTCCCAGTGGGCGGGGGTCCCTATCTCAGGCCCAAGCCTACAGCCACCACTGCCTTAGGAAAGCCCTGGGCGCCTGCCCCGCAGGCTAGCAGCTTCTGTGGGCCCTTCCCTAAACTCATCTGCGTTTGTATGAACAGCTGGGGAGGCTTCCAGCACATTCAGGGAGTTTCCTCAGCCTCCCTGCAGCCCAGATGGACTGGGAACAAAGGAGTCCCCTCACACCATCACACCTGCCTGTGTCTGGTCCCGGCTCCAGCCTCTCAGGCATTCTTGGCAGCTTGGACACCCGGGTGCTGATACCCTGGCTGCAGGGCTGGGTGGCCAGGATCCCAAGGTCCTGGGGAAGCAGCTCTGTATTTACGTCCTGCGATCCAGAGATAACTCAGCACTTAATAAGTGCTCGACCTTAACTTAGCACGTTAACCTTAACGTAGTAAAAAATGGGGCTTAGAGGAGGAAGGACCGTTGTATATGTCCTCCTCGGGACACATGGCTAGTGAATCTAAGGTGCTTCCCATAGAGAACCTTCTGGGTCCAGGGCACTCCGGGAGCTGTGTGTCCTCTGGTGCCCTCTGCTGGCCATCCTGGTACAGACATCCCTGAGCTCACCTGAGGGCCGCCGGCGGGACTCGTTCCCAGGTGGCCCGGGGTTTGGGGCCTGAGGTACTAGCCACCTGATGACAGGACGCTGACCTGAATAACTGTTGCGCATTGCTGGACTTATAAAGTCCAGTCAGACCAAATTTTTGGTATGGGCTCACATAATGGGAATTCTGCATTTAATGTTGCCACTTGGGGAGTGAGTAAGGGCTGTCTTCTGGCTCAAAGGCAGCTGTCTTCTCCCCGGGGTCCACATGGCCTCTCCTGCACGGCTGCCTGTGAGAAAGAGAGAGAGAGAGATGGGGTTCTGGGGGAGGGAGAGACGGGAAGGGGGAGAGGGAGGGAGGGGGAGGGGACAGGGAGGGAGGGGAAGGGGATGGGGGAGCGGGAGGGAGGGAAGGTGTGGGAGGGAGAGGGAACTCTTCCTCTTCTTACAAGGACACTAATCCTATCAGATCAGGGTCCCTTATGACCTCATTCTAGCTTAATTATGTCCATAAAAGTCCTATCTCCAAATATCACCACATAGAGGGTTGGGGCTCACCCATGTGAATCTGGGGGGGCACAGCCCAGCCATAGCAGCGTCACCTCTCATTAATCCTCTGTTCTTGGTAATCCTGAGAATGGTAGCTGGGATCTGTAGAGGTGTCTTTATTTTAAATCAGCTGTATTGAGGTCTAATTTAACATGATACAATTTGCCTCTTTCAAGTGAATCAGCTCCATGAGTTTTGAAAAATGTGCTTCGTTCTGTAGACACTATCAAAGAGGACACAGCACACTTTCACCCCCGAATTCCCTCACCCCCTTTCCCAGTTAGCCCCTCTCACCTCCACTCCAAGAGGTGGACAGTCCACGTTCAACCCAAGCTTGGCCCTGGATGCGGTGGTGGCCTGTGAGGGCTGTTCCCTCTCCTGGTGAGCAGTACCACCCAGACCCCTGGGGACAGTTCCCTGCACACCACCACTTGCCAGCTGGGGGACATTTGGGTTGTTTCCAGCTCTTGACGATGGCAAATAAAGCTGCTGTGAATGGCTGTGCACTGGCCGTAGTGGACTTGGGCAAGCACCTCTCTTGGTGAATCTCTCTAGTGGGATTGCTGGGTAGTGGGGCAAGTGTTGGGTCTGACTTTATAAGAATCTGACAGTTTGCCCTCCAAAAGGATGGTGCCAAGATGCCTTCCCACCGACAGTGTATGAGGGTTCCAGATGTTTCCACATTAACTCCAGCACTTGACATTATTACCTTTTAAGTTTGAGCCATGTCAGTGCAGGTGCTATAATAAGATACCTCATTTTCCTTTTTATTTACATTTCCTCAGTACTAATGATATTGATTATCTTTTCATGACTTATCTTTTTCTTACATCTTCTCTGGTTAAGTGTCTATTCAAATATTTTACACCATTTTAATCAGGTGTTTGGTCTTTATATTGAGTTGTAAGAGCTCTATGTATTCTGGCACAAGTCTTTTATCCTACATACCCTGTGCAAGTATTTTCCCCTGGTCTGCTGCTGCCTTTGCATTTCCTTAACAGTATCTTTCAAAGAGAAAATGTTTTTAAATTTGCTGAGGTCCAATTTTTCTTTTAGGATTCACATTTTATGTGTCCTAGCTGCAAAAAAAAAAAATATTTGCCTTAATCCAAGACCAGAAAGATTTTCCATTGCATTTTCTTCTAGCAGTTTTACAGCATTAGCTTTTACATTTTAGGTTTAGGGCACATTTCAAGTTAATTTTTCAGTATGAGTGAGGACATTTTCCTTTGTTTACTATGCTCTGTAACAATTCATGCAGCACTGGGACTGGGCTCTGTTTGCAGCTGTGTCAGAATTTCTCTGGGAGGCCGTCTGGGTGTGGAGAGTTTCACAGCTTTGGCCTTTGATAACATTCTCTATTTCTTCTATGGCTTTTTTTTTAGCTTTATGTCTCTATTGGAATAAGTTTGGTAAACTGTGATTTTCCTAGGAACTTACCTATTTTTTTTAGGTTTTCAAAATTAGTTGCATAAGGTTTTTCAGAGCAGCATTTTTAAAGTTACCTATTTCAATAGGCGTTTCCCCATTGCCAAATCTTATTTGGTATATTTAGGGTTTTTTTTTCTCCTTTTCTATATTGATTAGGTTAGCTACTGGCTTACACATTTTGTTTATTTCTTAAAAGAACTGAGATTTTGATTTATTACTTAATTCGACTCTTTTTCTCTTAGGGGCTTTATCAATTTCTTTATCTTTGTTTCATTTTGGTTTATGTTACTATTCTCTTACCTTTCTGAGTTGGGGATTTAATTCACTAATTATTGGTATGTGCTCAAAGCGATACATTTTCCTCTGATCCCTATCTTAAACATTTTTTGTAGATTCAGAAATGGGGTGCTTTTATTACCATGTTTTTTTTAATTCTATAATTTCAGTTTATAGTTTATTTTAGCCACAAGTGTTTTAACAGAAGATATTTAAATTTTCATGTGCAAGAACCTTTTTAGAATGTCAGGATTTTCTGATTTTGCTGCATTTGCTCATAGAATGATTGCAATGCTGTTACTTTGTGGAAGGTAATGCTTTCTTTGTGAACAAGTATATGATTAAATTTTGTGAATATTTCATATGCATTTGAGAAGAAGTATTGTCAGGACTTTGATTATATATCAATACACTCTTCCTTTCTTTTTTCTTACTTATCTTTTTGTTCACATGACTTGTGTTATATCCAGAATGGGGTCCCCATCGACACAGTCTGGTGTCCTAAAGAAATGTCAGTTGTGTTTTTGTCGATTTCTGGCTGCATGACCCAGTCTTCTGGTTTGCAAAGAAGAACAGTTTTGCCTAGCGCTTGATTGGTGCAGAGATAATTACAACTGCTATATTTTCATGATGAATTGTGGCTTATAAATTGTTCTTCATCATGTGTGAAGTGCTTTGCCCTGAACTTTTTGTCTGATATCAGGATCCTTCCCTTGCTCTTAGCTCAACATCCTGATACTTAAATCACCTTCGATCACCAGTGTTTTAAAGTTGCATATTTTTAGCAGTATATTGACTAATTTTTTGTCATAATGACTATTGGTTAAAAGTATAAAACAAAGGAATACTGGCCAAGAAATGCAGGAAGCTCATGAAGAGAATAATAATAAAATAATAATGCTGAAAATTCATCTTCAAATCTTCAACAGGAAAGATATCTGACAAGTTGATTTTAAAAGTTTGTAGGGAGCATGAACACTTCTCCAGAAAACAAAAACTATGTTAAGTGGAAAAATTATGTAACCATAATATAAATTATTGTACTTTTGGTGAAACACTTATCTAAACTAAAATATTTGACATAAATTCACTTTCTCCTATACCGTGCAAAGGGAGTGCAAATTGCTTTTTGTAATTCCTGGAAAGGAGTTGGAGGGTTTGTTTTTGACAGAAGGTGTTCATAGTCCAAAGAGCTTGGAACTGCAGCCTCCATGCCTGCTTTTGCATTACTTATCACCCCCGAACCCGGTAATACCCCATGAGGTATTTATTAGCTCTAGAATCTGAAGTTTCTGCTTTATGGCTATGTTGTTCTGCAAAATGTACCTTGGCTCACTGAGCGTATTGAACTGTGATCCAAATGACCCTTCTTATGGCAAATAAGACCAGCCCAGGACTCCCGCCTGCCTGCTCTGTTTGCTTTACCAGGAATCCATAAAACTGTGATGATAAGCCAGTGCTCAGCCTCTGTGGTGGACGGCTTTCCATTCATCCAACAGCCGCTGGGCACCTGCTGGAAGCCTGCCACCGCCTGCCCGCTGGCCAGCTTCTGGCCCTGGGACCATCACTGTGGCAGGGGTCCCCCACCGTGGGCCTCCGCCCATGGCATCCTCCATTCTCTCCATTCATGCATCCACGTCCACAGAGGCCCTGAAGCAAGGACTCTGATCCTCCTGCAACAGGGGCCCAGGGAACAGCCCAGGGGGCAGCTTCCAGCCGAGCAGGAGAAGGGCCGGAGGGGCGCAGAAGCTAAGGCTCTGCTCCAGGACTGCCAGCGCTGGGCACGAAACCCTGAGTGGGAGGCAGTCCAGGGGGCCGGGTAGCGAGTTAGGTCCAGGGGACCGGGAACATCTGTAGGGTTTGTGTGTCCACTGTCATAAAGCAATCATGTGCGGGTCTCCTGTGATGGAGATGCCGCTGCCAGCGCGGATGGCGCCTCTCTGCTGGGGCCCCCTGTGTCCCACTGCAGGACCCTCACACCACGGAGGCCTCACAGCAGTCCCATCAGGAATCGTGCCATCCAGGGACACCCCTAGAAGCTTGAATCCCAGGGTTCTGTCTCTAGCACCCTCTCTCTGCAGCAGGTCATGACCACTGTGCTGGATCCTGAGCAGCCGCCATCTGGAAGCCAAGCTCTGAGACCGTTTGTACGTCTCTCCCACCGCAGACGCGCGCGGGGCTCAGGGCTCCCGGCTCTGCCCTCATCCCCTGGAGGAAGGCGTTTCCCTCTCGAACCTTCACTCACCTTCCTTCCTCATTCCCATTGGCTCCATCACACCCCTTGTGCCTGGCAAAGCCCCTGTCAGAGCCGCTGCTCCTCCCATACTACCCCCCATTCACCCACGCCCCGACACCCACACGACCGCCCGTGTCCTCGCACATTTGATTTTGGAATTAGCACGCTCACCTCCTCAAGCCCTCTGACTGTGTCTGGGCACCAGGGGGCAGTAGCAATGGCAGGGGGTGGCTGGATCCGAAGGCAGGCCTCTGGGCTGGGGGTGGCACCCTCCAGGCCACAGATTTCTCACGGACGGTGACCACATCATCTTCCTTTGTAACTGGCCACAGTCCCTGGGCACACAGTGGACATTAAATAAATGATGACTGATTTTCTTTGTTGGGTAACATATCTGCCTGAGTTCAAATATTAACACTTGAGTAAAACCCCTTAAGACATTCAAACACAAGATATCATATGAGTGCATATGTGCAAGTCATCTATTAAGAACATTGGCATTTCATTTCTTGCCATTTGAAATGCAAACCAGGGCTACCTTGAGTCTTGAGAATGTATTGGTGCCTTTATACCAAGAGCTCCAGGGAGGAGATGACCAAGGAGGGAGGACCTTGCCTAGGGATGCTGCTGCTCTTTGCCATCTCACACTTCGTTTTCAAATCCCTGATGGATTAAAAACTCAATGCAGTGAACATTATAAGAAGGAGAAAGTATTCTTTGAGACACTGAAATTATGGTGAGTAAGAAAAGGGTCGACTGAGAGAGATGCTTGATTCAAGCCCAGCAAATGCCCACCTGGCATCTTTAACACCAACCAGCCAGAATGCCTGTGTGCAGTGGCCCTGGAGGAGCAGCCAGCTGGAGGGGTTGCTCCTGCACCCAGGCAAACTTCCTTCCCCTGTGCTGACAGGTGCAAGGAGTCATGTGGACATCCCAGCCTGGGGCATCTCACACATTTTCTTTGAAGGTTTGATGGCCCAGTATGTTCTTGTTTTTGGCAAACAGCACATCTCTGTAGGGGAGTGTCTGCTTCCAATTCCTCTGAACTCCCTAAAACTTGCTCCCTATGCAGCTGACCTAATGATCGTTGCAGATGTGCTGGGAAGAACCAATCATGAGATACCCACTTTAGGAGATGTGAGACAGTTTATTCTTTTTCTACAGTTTAGTGAAAACCCTAATAAGCCATTTATTTTCCTCTGCTGGAACCACCTGTTTGAACAAATTAGTGGTCATTTCTAAGAAGCTGCAGTCATAATCTCTAGTTAATCCCTGGCACATTAGGAGGTGGGGGATGAGAGGTGCACAGCATGGGGACCCACTGACAGCACCTGCAGTGCACAGATTAACAGTATGAAGCCAATCACTTACTTAGCACTTCCCCACCACCATGCCTAGGCACTCTGCACGTGCTCGCTCCCCAGAAAGGGACCCAGCCAGGTCTCCAGATCTAGCAGTCTTGGCAAATCTACTAATAGGGAGAAAAAACCGAGATTGCACTGGAGAGGCCAAATGACCTAGGAATTAAAATAAGAAAACTTGAAATTACTTGAGACTTTTCTTACTATGAAGCTGGATGCTAGATGGGATTTCAAATCAGTCCCCTCCCTCATCCCTGACCAGATAAACCTCCTTGATATTGACCAGGCATCCAGGATGGAACTTCCTGGCTTCCCCAAGCCAGAACCCTGTTGTTCGGACCCCAAGCATCAGGGTTAGCTTCTCCCCTGCTTCCCATACCACCTCCTATTATTCAGATTTTAAAAATTTAAGCAGATAGATGTCAAATCCTTTTCCTTAAACATTATAATGGTCACCACCTATATGTGAGATATGCAGATTTATCCATGTTGGACTTTATTTGCCTTAATGTCTCTCATTTTATAAAAATAAATAAAAGAATAGAAATAAGAGGGCAGCATGAGAAGTGAGACAGAAACCTCCTCCCAAAATCACATATAACATGAAAATACAGCAAATACAACTAAACCTGAAAGATCAACATGAAAGTATACTGCAACTGATGGCCTACATCTGGGGAAAAGAGAAACCTCACAGAAAGGGTAAAATAGCAAAGCCATGATCCAGCAGCACCCAAGCCCTACTGGGGTGGGGGAAGAGAAATGGAGTGAGAAGGGAGGGAAGCCCAGGAATGCTAAATATCTACCCCTAGAGATATACTCAAGGAGCACAAACCCACATCACATGGTGCTCTGGAGATTAGAGGGGTTGGCAAGCAAAGACAGGCAGAATACTTGGAGAGACAGACTCCAGCAGCTTGTGGAGAACAGGTACCCACAACCAGCTGCTCCAGGACAAAAGAAAGGTGGGCACATTGAAAATCTTCACAACAGTGAGAGGGCTAAAGGGGCAAGGATTACATAGATTTCATGATTACACTGCTCAGGAGAAAGGACAGGTGGACAACACTGTCCCAGCACACTCAGTCCAGCAGGTTGGGAACTTTCAGGAGCTTCACACTCTCCATCCCACTGACTGGCAACGCAGTGCTGAGGCCCTTGACTGCAATATGCAGCCTGCTACTCCTTCCTCTCAGTTGGCACTGACTTGCAAACCTGCTGCCCCTGCCATTGAGCCAGGCCAGCCAGAGGGTGGCCCCACCTATGGAAGCTACAAGGGCATAGCATAGAGACTCCTCTCTGCACACTCGTCCCACTGGCCCTGGCAGTGGAGGCAGGCACTGCAGCCGGGAAGCAGGAAAGAGCTCTTTCCTCCCGGCAGGCTCTGGCATCACACCTGCAACCCTGCCATTGTTCCAGGGGCTGGGAAGCTCCAGAGAGTAGAGCTTCTGGGCACTAGAAGGTGTCACCTACACAAAGTTATTATTCCATAGTAATCCTTACAAATATGAAATGGCAAAAGAACCTGGTACAAACCAAAATCCCTCAAACACCAGAAAGAGGGCTAAGTGAAACTGAAATCACCAACCTTCCTGAGAAAGATTTCAAAGTAAAAATCAAACATGATGACAGAGCTGCAGAAAAATATTCAAGACCTCAGGGAGGAATTCAAGAAAGAGATAGAAACTTTAGAAATACAGTTTCTGAAATGAAATATACAATGGAGGGATTTAAAAGCAGATTAGATGAGACAGAGGAGACTGCAAATGAAATAGAAATTAGAGAAAAGGAAATAAAAGGAAGCTGAGGCACAGAGAGAAAAAAAATCTCTAGGAATGAAAGAATATTAAGAGAACTGTGTGACCAATCCAAACAGAACACTATTTGCATTATAGGGTACCAGAGGAAGAAAAGAGAAAAAGGGATAGAAAGTGCCTTTGAAGAAATAATTGCTGAAAACTTCCCCAATCTGGAGAAGGAAATAGCCTCTCAGGCCATGGAAGTGCATAGATCTCCCAACACAAAGGACACAAGGAAGACAACACCAAGACATAGAATAATTAAAATGGCAAATATCAAGTACAAGGACAGACTATTAAAAGCAGCCAGAGAGAGAAAAAAGATCACCTACAAAGGAAAACCCATCAGGCTACCATTACACTTCTCATCAGAAAGCTTACAGGACAGAAGGGAGTGGCATGATGTATTTAATGCAGTGAAACAGAAGGGCCTCAAACCAAGAATACTCTACCCAGTAAGGTTATCATTTAAATTTGAAGGAGAGATTAAACAGTTTCCAGATAAGCAAAAGTTCAGGGAATTTATCTGCCACACACCATCTCTACAGTGTACTTTGGAGGGACTACTATAAATGGAAGTGCTCCTAAGACTAAATATCTGTCACCAGAGAAAAGGAAACTGCAGTAAAGGAAGTAGACCAATTAATTACTAACCAAGTGCAAAATTAAATCAGCTAACCACAAATTCAGTCAAAGGAAACATAAAAAGTACAGAATATGACACCCAACATATAAAGAGTGGAGGAGGAAGATAAAGAAGGGAGGAAAAAAAAGAACTTTTAGATTGTGTTTGAAAGTGAGTTAAGTTAGACTGTTTAATAGTAGAGAAGTTGCCCTTGAATCTTTGGTAACCATGAATCTAAAGCCTGCAATGGCAATAAGTACATATCTCTCTATAATTATCCCAAATGTAAAAGGACTAAATGCACCAATCAAAAGACACTGAGTTACAGAAAGGACAAAAAAAGCAAGACCCATCTATATGCTGCCTACAACAGATTTACTTCAAACCCAAAGACATACACAAACTAAAAGTGAAGGGATGGGAAAAGATATTTCATGCAAATAATAGGGAGAATAAAGCAGGAGTTATAGTACTTGCATCAGAAAAAATAGACTTCAAAAAAAAGAAAGTAACAAGAGACAAAGAAGGATATCATATAATGATAAAGAAGTCAGTCCAACAAGAGGACATAACCATTCTAAATATCTATGCACCCAACATAGGAGTGCCTACATATGTGAAATAAATACTAACAGAATTAAAAGGGGAAATAGAATGCAATTAATTCATTTTAGGACACTTCAACACACCACTCATTCCAAAGGACAGATCAGCCAGACAAAAAATACATAAGGACACAGAGGCACTGAACAACACATTAGAACAGATGGACCTAAGAGACATCTGCAGAACTCTACACCCTAAATCATCAGGAAACACATCCTTCTCATGTGCACATGGAACATTTTCAAGAACAGATCACATACTAGGCCACAAAAGGAACCTAAGTAAATTAAGGATTTGAAATTGTCCCAACCAGCTTCTCAGACCACAAAGGTATGAAATTAGAAATAAATCATACAAAGTAAACAAAAAAACCCACAAACACATGGAGGCTTAAAAACGTGCTCCTAAATAATCAATGGGTCAATAACCAAATAAAAACAGAAATCAAGCAATATATGGAGACAAATGAAAACAACAATTCAGCAGCCCAAAATCTGTGGGATGCCATGAAGGGAGTTCTAAGAGAAAAGTATATAGCAATACAGGCTTAAATCAAGAAATAAGAACAATCCCAAATGAACCATCCAAACTCACAATGAATGAAACTAGAAAAAGAAGAACAAATGAGGCCCTAAGTCAGTACAAGGGGGGACATAATGAAGATCAGAGCAGAAATTTTAAAAATGGAGAAGAATTAAACAAAAGAATGAATCTATGAATCCAGAAGCTGGTTCTTTGAGAAAATAAACAAAATAGATAAACCCCTAGCCAGACTTATCAAGAAAAAAAGAGAGTGTACATATATGAATAAAATTAGAAATGAGAAAGGAAAGATCACTACAGATACCACAGAAATACAAAGAATTGTTAGAGAATACTGTGAAAAATTACATGCTAACAAATTGTGTAACCTAGAAATGGGCAACTTTCTAGAAAAATACAAC